TAACCCCTTCACGCCTAAGGGTAAAACAAATCTAAATGCCTAAGCACAATTCTGCAACGTTGACATGTGTTAGTAAAACCACTTTGTACATCCAGGTGGATTATACCGCGTTTTTTTTCAGGACAAATTGGGCTTTCATTTGGTGGTAAATGGTAATGGACAGCTCCTATTTTTTTTTTTATCATCAAAGGAAAAGTGGCCCAAAATAGTAAAAAAAAAAAAAAATAGTTTTTTTTTTTTATTTACCTGTGTGTTTCTTGTTACGACCATAACCTACCTCCATAGAACAACCCAAAATAAATTCTCCAGCTCTTGAGGATCGCAGCGATACCATATATGTGTGTTTTATTTGTTGTTTGTACCCATAGTAAAGCCCAGAAACAATAGTGTGCATTTTGTTTTTGGCTTTTTTTCTTTTTTTTTTTAACCTAAAACACACTGACACCAATTTTTTTTAAATCCTGACCTTTGACCCTGACCTTGACACAAATACTAACCCTGGTACGGAACTAGATCAAACCTTGATCTAGGTATTTTTCTTAATTTTTTCTTTTATTTTTTAATATTTTTTTTTTTATTTTTTTTTATTAAAAACATTTTTTTTTTATCTCTCTATGAATGGAGAAGAGAGATACATTGTAACTCTCTAACTCCTGACATAGACAGCGAAAAAAAAACAAGGGGGGCGGGCTGCACAGTGACTGATCACTGTGATAGCCAATCAGAGGCTATCACAGCGATCACGTGAATCGCAAGTCCCGGGTCCCAATCGTTAGAACGGGACCCGGGGCTCTCAGTGACACCGCGGTCTCTGTGCTGGGAGCGTGCAGTGCGGCGCGCTCCCAGCACAAAGACAGGTATGAAAAATATGCGACCCCACGGAAAAAAACCCAGTTCCATGAGGCCGCATATTTGTGTGCCGTCGGCGTCAGGGGGTTAAAGTAAAAGCTGGAATTGCTTCGGTGCACAGCTATCCAAGCTGTGGAACTGCATGTTACTTCATTCTGTGCGAATGAGGGCAAAATCGAATGGTAGAAGGCTATTTTCTCTCCAGGTCAAATGTTATTCATTCATACAGAATCAGGAAAATAACACATTATGGTCAGTAATGGTCAATAGAAATCAAAATCAAATCTCCAGCTCAGTCTAGTGACCTTAATGCAGCATTTTCCTGGTTCACTTTACTGTATGAAGAATAAAAGACAGAGAGGAGAGAAAACATCAACGGAAAATAGTGGAATCACTAGACAGACATCAATGACACATGCAGCCCTCAGCTTTTAGAAAGAGTTGCATTACAATGTTAAATTATCCTTGCAGAAGTGACAACTCTGCCGGCCATGATGCTCTCTTTGTATGTAAACGGATACACTTTGTGTCTACCTGGAGATATCTGGAGCTGTTCCTCTCATCCTACACTGCAAGTTCATATTTATGGCACCACATGCCGAATTTCAAAAAGTACCGCTGGGCTGATATCACTCTACCCGACGGTAAACGGCACTGCAGCCTCCAAGGGAAACAAAGGTGCTGCCCACTGAAAGGACATAAATTCACTGCAATGAGGGCAAGTGGCAGATCCCTTGGAGACCTCCCATGAGACCCCAGATTGAGTAACCCTGCCTCAGATGAATACAAGGGTTGCATCCTACCCAGGGGCGGACTGACAACTCATGGGGCCCCTGGGAAATAGGGGATCATGGGGCCCCTGTGTCCTTGCCAGCACTCAAACCACACCCAAAAAGCCTATAAAAAAGGTGCCAGGGGCATTTCATGGGGCCCCCTACTGACCCCGGGCCCTCGGGCAGTGCCCAAGTGCCCGAATGGTCAGTCCGCCCCTGATCCTACCTGCTCATTATTTCATCAAAGCATTGCTGTAGTGTACCTGTCCACCCCAGTCCATTGTGTTTGTGATCTGAAATTCAGGGAACCCCACTTGCGATGCAGGTGATCGATTCCAAAACACACTTCTTGCAGACTCCAAGCCGTCTCTGGCATGCTGAAGACCTAACTGAAAATAACAAAAAAAAAAAAAAAAAACACATAACAAAAGAATTGTCAGCACAAGGGGCTTACTTGGGCGGCCAGGGGGTGGTAAAAGCAGGTACTTGCCCCCAAAAGACGTGCAGTCGCTCATGGCTCAAGTCGCTCAAATTAAATCCCCCGTCGTATTCCGCAGGCAGTTAAATACAACCCATTAAAAGAGAAAAAAAAAATGTTATGGCACACAAAGCAAATATGCAATTTAGAGCACTTTGGATTCTGCGTGAAGTTGATAAAAGATTTAAATACATCAGTTGAACAACTATTTTTGTATAGTTTCAGGGTTGTCAGTTAAAGTTTTACTGAAAGAAGAAAAAAAAGAAAAAAAAAAAAAAAAAAAAAAAAAGCAATATAAAGATTCATAGTATAAAATTTGAAATAGCCCAACCTATGGTTCACACTAACATGACTCTCCTGCGACTTGCGACACATTCATTTCAACGTGGGCTTGTCTTAATTGCTTCGACAAACAGTTACTTCACTACTTTTCTGTGTTTTCCTTGCAAACACGAGTGCCATAGATTACAATTTTACAATCACAAAAGACTCAAGGAAGTGGTTTCTTTGTCTCGTCTTTGAAATTTTGGCTTCGACTTCAGAGGGCGTTGCGAGTTCAATAAATGTGTCACAATCTGTAATGTTATCATTGGGCAAAGTCAAACATTTTATGATTGGGTCAAAGTTACAAAACACCAAAATCGCATTCGGGCTCCGTCCGTGCGCACTAGTGGGCTTTTTTAAGCTCAAAAAAGCTGGAAAAAATACTGGTAATAGAATTTTTTTTGTAGTGTGAAGCGTTGGATTAGCATTTTTATAGTACATGTAGGAAAAAGCTAAAAAAATAAATAAAATGCCCATCTCCAGGACCTCTCCAGGGCTTCCCCCATCCTCTGGAACTCCCTACCCTAATCCATCAGACTATCACCTACTCTCCTCACCTTTAGGCGCACTCTGAAAACCTATCTGTTCAGGGAAGCCTACCCCACCCTCAGCTAATTACAGATCTCCTCCACTCTTCCTACCATTCCATCCCCCACAGCTATCCCTCCCGTACCACTATCCCCTCCCTCCTAGATTGTAAGCTCCAAGGAGCAGGGCCCTTGAACCCCTCGTGTATTGAATCGTATTGTTACTGTACTGTCTCGTGTACTGTCTCCCATTATAATGTACAGAGCTGAGCAAACTGTTGGCGCTATATAAATCCTGTATAGTAATAATAATAATAATGTTAGTAGCCCTTTAGTAGTGTTTAGCCTTTTTTTTCCCAACACTCCAAAAAACAATAGTTTGTCAAGTGGGACTAGATGCATAATGGGGTAGGTTTGACAGACGGGGGAGACGTCCATCAGAATGTATTTAATGTGATTTTGGTTGCCAAATAGGAGCAGGCGTATGGGAATAAAGAGATAGGGAAGGGAATGGGGGAATGGTCGGAGTGGGGAGGATAAATGCAAGGTAAAGGGTTAAAGGGGAAATGAAAAGGATCCAGAAGGGAAGAAGGAGCAGGGATATGAAGATCCAAGGGGCAAAAGATATATATGTTCCTGGGCAACTCCTGGTTATCTAGAAGTCCAGATTTTAAGTTTCGAAACTGGTATCCCTCAGAGGGGAATACATTTTAGAGTATTAGGGAGGGTGAAGTTACTGTGGACCAGGGGCAGACTGACCATTTGGAAACTCGGGCACTGCTCGAGGGCCCGGGGTCAGTAGGGGGACCCATGAGATGCCCCTGGTACCTTTTCCATAGGCTTTTTTGAGTTTGGGCAAGGACACAGGGGCCCCATGATCCCCTATTGCCCGGGGGGCCCCATGGGTTGTCAGTCCACCCCTGATGTGGACCAATAACATTTAAGGTTTGATTTTTTTTTTTTTTTTGGTAGTTGATGAACCCACTGGCTTGTTTGGTTGCTTGGTGGATTCCAGCAGGAAGATCTCCTGGAAATAATTCCAAGCAGAACTCTTGACTTCCTAAATTCTTTCTGCAGCACCGTCTATTCCATAACCAATTAATGAAAAAAAATCCACCATGGAAGGTCAACATCCACCTTAATAGCAATCAAAGAAGGGGATTGAGCTGGAAACTGAACTACAAAAAATGACCAGAAATTACAAAAATACAGTATTCACTGTGTAAGCATCTTTCAAAAACAGCTAAAATCAAAAATATGAAAAAGTAAAAATGAAGTATGTCTAAAATTGTAGTTTTATCGAAGGCTAATCCATCTGCACGGTGGCAATGCTACAGTGTTTCCATTGCAGCAGAAACAATGTGGTCACCTTGTAACAGGAAGTGGAAAAAAATGGGCTGTACTGGCAGGGTCAACAGGTACTAAAACTGTTACAGAAGGGGCAAAAAACACAAGAAACTGCTATGTGTCGATTTTCTTTTCTGTTTTAAAGTGGTTGTAAACCCTTACACATACCAAATGAAGTGATTGGCTTCAGGTGATACACAGAGACATACATTGTACTTATTTATCTGCAACGTTCTTTCCTCTACAGCTTTCTAAAATGCACATTTTACACAGCATTCCTGAGTTCCAGAATGCAGGGGGCGGGGATCTGACATCACACACTGCAGAGTGTAAACTGAGACTAGAGTGGAGGGAATGGACACAACCCCTCTACACATTCTGGAAGGGATACAGCTGAGGCTGGTGGTAGGGGGTCCATGGTCTGGGATGGCATAAACTGTCAGAAATAGCAGAGGAAGGAGAGAAATCACACGATGTGCCTTGGGTTGAGGCAAGTACACACTGTTGAAGGATATGGTTTGTTCATTTTTTCATTTCAGAGCTTTACAACCACTTTAAGCTGCCACCGCTGAGGATCACAACCAGTTGATTATAAAAATCTGATTCGGTGCAAGAAACACAAGTAGCTCTTTCGACACTTTGATGAAGCCAGTCCTATGGTTAAAGTATATAAAATGATTACAGAAAATAAAGGATAACTGAATGTTTCCTTTCTGTTGGACAGATGCTGCACCGTATTACACAAGGCCAAGATATTATGACCAACGCGCCTTACCTTTACCCGACATCCCATTCCACGAGTCGTTGACCGAGCAGCAAGTGTCCCTTAAAGACAAGGAAAAGGGGCCCTGGAAGCAGCTGAGCCAAGAGGAAAAGATTTCACGTAATGCACCGCAATCATTTCTGCAAAAATTGTATGCAAACAGAAATCCACCTAAAAATTTGAGTTAGAAATTCAAATATCTGTTATAACTCTACTGTCGCCTGGCCTCCAGCTTGGGAAGATTCCACTTCCGGTCAGGGCTAACCAGGTTGGTTGGGACAAAGTGGAGAAAAGGGGTGAGGACTATCATCCAATCACAGGCTGAGGTGGGGTCTGGGGCCGGGATCTATTACGTAGCTGCACCCTTACACGGAGCTTAGAACGCAGCGCAAAGCCATGGGTTCTATTCCCATGATCTGCCGGTGAAGAGGTGCAGACTATCAATATTCCCATCTAGAGCAATGTGTGCAGTAAATAGAGAAAATGCCGCTCTACCAACCAGCCACCATAACCTGTGTATGAGGACTGTCTTCAGCCTTCAGTCTACATGGCCAAGAAACCACACCACTGATGCATTTTGCCCCGGGGGCTTAGTCATAGGATCATGTAGGACAAACCCTGGTGGACAGGATGAAATGCATCGAGGGTGTGGTTTCTTGGTGTAGCTACATTGCATTTTGCAGGAGGTGCAGGATGTGGCCAAGGTATTGTAGGTAAACTGGAAGGGGGTATTTGTGGAGCAGAACTACAAATTCTATATATGTGGATGTTTCAACCATATATTTTGCTGTTTATCAGGAGATCAGCTTTGACAATTCATCAAGGCTTCCAAATTCTTACCTTTTCTTTCTTCCTCTCTTGTACAGTTTATCGGATAAAATTCAACATGACGTATGCAGAGATGAACAAGCCGAACCAAGAATGGAAGACTGTAATGGGAGCCATCTTCTTTTTCTTAGGCATAACAGGTCTTATCATCTGGTGGCAAAGAGTTTATGGTGGGTACCATGGTAGTGGCTGCTAACCCATTCACCTACATAACGCAGGCAGTAGCTCACATGGTATTAGTTAGTTGTTTAGCAACCAGCAGTCAGAGTTTGAGCGAAGAGGTGAGCCCACTCCATTCGAGATCCAAGTCATTGAATGTTGAAAGGGAGAAAAAGAAAAAAGCGAAGAGGAGATGGCGATCAAAGTACTATATGGTCATACATTTGTGAATACCTGACCATCACACCTCATATATGGCCAAAATAAAGAGAGTAAGGTTTTTTTTTTATCAGTTAGGCCCCTTCCCCACAAGCAGACCAATGAGGTCTGCATGTCCGTTTTTCAGGGGACCTGATCAGACCTCCATTCTGCTCTATGGAACTACAGGTGTAAAGACTTGTCCGTTTACACCCACATACCACTAATCTGATTCGATTTGCCAAAAACAAATGGAAGGGGATCCATTACCCTCCATCTGGAGAGATGTAAACAGACAGCCGGTCCGTTTACATCCGATTGCCTATAGAGCAGAGTGGGCTGTGTCTGTGTCCGTTCTGAATATCTGTCAAAGAACATCTTTACGGCTTAGTAAATCACTGACCAAAACCTCGTATCTAACTGCTGAAATCAGAACTTTTGGTCTAGGACTCACGAAGGATTAAAACTAGAAAGCCAAACAATAGAAAACATTTAAAATGATATCATTTTAGGTTCTCGTATTGGCTAACTAAGCTGTTAACCATTCACTAATCTCTGCATGGAGAACGGTGGACTAATCAGCTGAGGAGGAGGTAAAAATCTGAGTATGCTTTACATTGCCATGACAGGCAGTCCCTAACCAGTTATAGGACAGGGACTGGTGTTCCTCTAGTTTTTAAGGACCCCCCCCTCGGCTGATAACAAGCAGCATCAGTTATCAATAAGCCTCCCCCTCTACCTTCTCTGCTCCAACAGTGTTACCTCCACTCCCGCATACCCTCGAAGACGACTGGAAGGCCATGCAGCTCAAAAGGATGTTGGACATGCGTGTGGGACCCGTACAAGGTTTATCCTCCAAGTGGGACTATGAGAAGAACGAATGGAAGAAATGAGGAGACGGCGAGGAGGTGATCAGTTACAGGACCTAGCACAAGTCCAGTATCCGTGCACACTGTGTTTGTGTACCACGTCACCAAGAGCGCACAATTAAACTGTTAATAAACTGACCTTATTAGTTTGTGCAATGTCCTCAATTGTAACACTTTCCTGATTCCAGAACGGCTTTGGTTTTGGAGTTAGAAAACACTTTTTAGCCACTGTTTTATATAGGCACCCTGGACAGTTGTGGGTTACCGGTTGGTGTCCTCCAATCAGCTGCACCGGTGGGTGGTAATTGGCCATTGGATAAAAGAATAATTACACTGTTCAACAAATTTTTATTTTTTGCCAGTTTTGGAAACAAAAGGATCCATTTCTTAATGAATTTCACATTCTGAGTTCAAATATAAAAATGAAATTTGTCAATTGGCTCTAGTTTTTCTGTAAACGGAAAGTTTTCTACTATAGGCGTAATGACTACATAATGCACAATAATTATATAGATAGATGTCTTTCCACAAATATAAAGCAAGTGATATTGACTACATAACAAAGCCTAAATGGCATAATATATTGCATAGGATTACCAAGAAAAATTATAGCCATAAGCTAAGTTGAATCATTTTAATACTTAGGATTCTCACTAGTTTTGTCTTCAGTTTGTGTCGGTTTTGCTTCTCTTGGCTTTTCTCTTGTATTCGAGGAAAGGGCTATCTCTTACAACTGCACGTGACTACACGCTTCAGGTTCTTCCTCACTTGACTCAACCACGAAGGATTCTGGTGCTTTAGGAATTGGTAGCCCCTCTCCATGAGGAACTGGACATATTGCCGATGGAATATTTGGATAGTGCACAGATAACTTTTTCTTCTTATTTAGCCCTTTTACAATTGGAGGCACCATACAAAAGTAACAATTACTAACATGATCTGTTGGCTCTCTCCAAATCATTGGCACAGCGAAAGGCATAGATGCCTTTTTTTCCATTCAACCATTGCTCCAGGGCCATCCCACAAGAATTGCAGCATATATGTGGTGCCCAGCTCTTGTCCTGGTCTCCTATCTTGCAGCCAAAATACAAGTTGTAGGCTTTCTTAATCATTCCTGTTATCCTCCTTTTTTGTGAGATAAAAGTTATTTCACCGCAGATATAGCAGAAATTATCTGCTTTATTCACACAAGTTCGAGGCATTACTGAGTAGCCTATATAAGCATAAAACGAAATGTAAAGACGCTGTCGAACTACAATCAGCTACAGATACTGCAGCTTTTATGCAGTGAAGTGATGCAATTAAAGGCTAATATTGCATCATCTCAGTATACATGCAATTTTCTATTGGTCACCAGTATCAATTGCGCAATATGCAGCTGAAGTTGCATCATAATTTTGAATGGCTTAGGTCATTAGATGGGTGAATATATCATGGAAACTAGAGCCAATCAACATTTTTTAGGGTCATTTTCGTTTTCAGCACCCCAAAATTATGCAAGATTAGCTAATTTTATGCCCAAAACTGTTTACCTGTTGAACAGTGTTATCGCACCGGGGACTTTATAGCAAGTGATGTAGAAAACACCCGGAACAATTTAACGTCACGGACCGTTTTCTAGACAACTTTTACACTGATGCACACCGATACCCACAGCCATTTGGGTACAATCTTCAGTGACTTTTGGCCGCAGGGAGAATGTGTAGCCACCTCGGGTGGGTATATTTCCTACAAAACATGATCATTTTTCGCTTTTCTGCATTTGACACAGTGGAGGGAAAAAGCTTCCTTCACCATAATGGGGAGCAAGCTGGACAAAGGTGAAACAGATAGATCTAGTTCAGGTCTACCTGTGCCCATAGAAAGTGGTACATGTTCCACACCTAAATAACAAAGGGATTGTGGCAGTTTTCACTATAGAAAACTGCCAAGATCCTTGTCAGATTGGTTCTGGTGCACAAGTTGCAAACTGTCTGCCAGTAACCTGGCAGTAAGCTCAAATGCCTCTCTCTGCCCGTGCAGTAAACACACTACACGGGCAGAGCCTGCAAATTGACAGGTAGAATTACTTTCCCTGCTTATACATAAGGCCAACTGCCTTCTTCCTCCCTTTTGCTCTCAGCTGAGTAAAAGTGGACAGAGAGAGAGCAGAGCTGGGCAAGCTTGTTATGCCTGTGTTCCTTTTATTAAATTAAAACGGTACAATCTGTTCTGTTTTTCAGTTTACAAGAGTGGCGCAGGCTTTACGCCTTTGCCACCATTTGTTAATTCCCCCAGCATGACTGTATAGTTGCCAAAGCATCATCGGTAACCATGCCCATCCTGTGCAACACCTCAAAATGTGTCAAATCTTACAATCCAAGGACCCATCACTCTGTAACAAGTACCTTTTCCCCTATGCATTTTTTTTTTCCCCTGAAGCGTTTTCAATTGAAATCAATGGAATGCACCAAAACGCGTGCCAAACTGAAGCACAATGGCGTGCATTTGAAACACACATTGCAACAAACTTTGAGTTGAATGTCAACGTGTGTCACGCAAATTAATGGAGGTTAACATTCGTTGATGTGCTTTGTGATGTATTGAAGTGCGTCTTAATGTATGCATTGACATGCGCTTGATACATTGCTATTGATTTTATTTAAAAAATGCATAGGTGTGAATCTGTCCATTTTTCATGGAAAAAAAAAAAAAAAAAAAAAAAAAAAAAAAAAAAGCTAAAAACACATGAAACTAAAGTTGTTTTCAATGTGCAGCACTGGGAGGGGGTTACCTTTTAGGATCGAATCACTACATCAACCCATGTACAGTATATATAAAAGAAAGATGTAATGGAGACTAGCGATGACCCTTTGCTTAGTAATTGTGGCTACATGCCTGTCGTTATATTTAGAGCCCCAACGGTGCACTCTGTATCCACATCAATCATGCAATTCTATACCTAAAAGGAAACAGCGACTGTATATACCACATGAGAATGGGCTATTGAGTACCTGCATGAAAAAAGTCTTCACACCTCTACAGAAAACGGAGACATCTCACGTTTCTATGAACTTTACTTGTCAGCCAGAAAGCTTCCATTGTAGAAAAGTGCGGCATCACAATGACAAGAAATCGGTCCCGTGCTAGGAAGTGTAAATCTTTTATCCCCACCTTTAAGTGTTAAGTAAATCCAAAAATGTATTGTATTCCTCAATAGCAATAAAGGATATAAATTCACTTTATCTGTTCTACATTCCTTTACTAATTCTGAGATTACCTTGTAGAAGTTACATCATCACTATGCTGTACATAGCCTGGGCAGAGAGCATAGCTGTGGGAGGGGTCCAGAAGGCCCCACCCACTACAAGCTGCCTGCAGAAAATTACAGGAGGGGGCGGATACAAGACCAGACATTCTGCTTCCTGTTATAAAGACCACTCACTGCTGCTCTCTCCTTGTTCAAAGTGTCACACTGATATACTGCACAGTTCTGGAAGAAGTACACAAAATCTCATAAGGATTGGAGCAAGAATAACCATGGGTTGCATTTAAATATTTGCTATCCTGTGGTTCAACTTAAAGCAAATCCTTTTTTTTTGGGGGGGGGGGGGGGGGAATCTATTAGTTTCTGACCTGAAGATCCTGCCAGTAACGGTACTTGATATTTTGGACTGGCAATGGCAAGCACAGTCCTTCAGTTGGCCAATGAGATGCTCATGCCTCCTGTTGTTACTGGCAGGAACTCGAAAACGATTTGCATAAACAAAAAAAAAACAAAAACAGTAACTATATATAGTGAGACATAATGCCAAACATACTAAAAATAGAGTTTGGGTTTGCAAAATAAAACTTTTCATCTAAAATGTTACTAAACCCTGGACCCTGCATTCCCTATATCCGCTCTCCCCGGACCCTGCATTCACTATATCCGCTCTCCCCGGAGCCCGCATTCCCTATATCCGCTCTCCCCGGAGCCCGCATTCCCTATATCCGCTCTCCCCGGACCCCGCATTCCTTATATCCGCTCTCCCCGGAGCCCGCATTCCCTATATCCGCTCTCTCCTTGGAGCCCGCATTCCCTATATCCGCTCTCCCCGGAGCCCGCATTCCCTATATCCGCTCTCCCCGGACCCTGCATTCACTATATCCGCTCTCCTTGGAGCCCGCATTCCCTATATCCGCTCTCCCCGGAGCCCGCATTCCCTATATCCGCTCTCCCCGGAGCCCGCATTCCCTATATCCGCTCTCCCCGGAGCCCGCATTCCCTATATCCGCTCTCCCCGGACCCCGCATTCACTATATCCGCTCTCCCCGGACCCCGCATTCACTATATCCGCTCTCCCCGGACCCCGCATTCACTATATCCGCTCTCCCCGGAGCCCGCATTCACTATATCCGCTATCCCCGGACCCCGCATTCACTATATCCGCTCTCCCCGGACCCCGCATTCACTATATCCACTCTCCCCGGACCCCGCATTCACTATATATCCCCGGACCCCGCATTCACTATATCCAGTCTCCCCGGACCCCTGCATTCACTATATCCGCTCTCCCCGGACCCTGCATTCACTATATCCACTCTCCCCGGACCCCGCATTCACTATATCCACTCTCCCCGGACCCCGCATTCACTATATCCAGTCTCCCCGGACCCTGCATTCACTATATCCAGTCTCCCACAGTACACAGAACATGGAAATGTAACTATTTTAGTATATATAAATTGCTAAATACCTTTTATCATCAGCAGTATATAGCGGTCTTGTGACTTCTATCAATGTCCAGACAAGCACTGGTTAATCTTGTAGAATTTTTCTCCTCTAACTGTCCTATGAGGCTGCATGACCCCTGACCTCTATCTGGACAGCGCTGATTGGCCCTGTGCCGATCACATGCACCTCCCCCCCCTCCCCCCCCCAAAAAAAAACCTCTCTAGCAAACACCAAACAGAGCATGTGCAGACTTGCCACTGCTGCTTTGTACTATGACAGGTGGATTGGGGACAGTAAAAGAAGGGGAGGAGCAGAGAAGACAGGATCAATCAGCCTTTTTAAGCGACGCAGAGGATTAACCCCTTAGGTTCCACAATGAGTATAACAAGTATGCTTTACTGCATTTACAGATTTTACTGTTGTGGGTTTAGTAACACTTTAACATCAATGGGACTGCCTTTCGGGGGATGCACGGAATACCGGGAGGTCGGTAAACATGGCGTTCACTGTAGATTGCCCCGTATGAATGGGGCCTTAAAAAGAGAACCTGTATTTGTGACTGTGACCACGATTAAAAGATCATAAAAAACTCTCCTACGTGTGTTAGCGAATGGCGGCCCTTACATTTTAGGACAGACATACAAACGCTTGGAAGAAACAAAAAAAAAAATATTTATTTAAACAGTTTAATGTTCTGCTTTCTGCAGCAGAGACCATCCAAATTCTAAAAGGGTTTAAAATGGTTAACAAAAGGTTTTGCGATTTGCAGCCTTGTGACAAGTGTGTGGCCTCCGCCTTGGCTGTGGAACCTTCATGAGTCCCTGGTCTCCCCTCCCTTCCCCCCTCCACCTCTCAGGGGACGGCCGGACCCTTCGTCCTATCTGCGGATGAGGTAAGAGGCCAATAAGACGGCTCCGGCAAGCGTTACTCCCGTCAGGAGCCACCTCCCGAAGCGTTCTTGGCTTCTCCGGCTGTTGGCGGCGGCGTCGTTCCCATATAGACTGACAAACGCTTCCTGTAAGGAAACAAGATTAAGTTAGAATTCTCAGTAAAGTCCCACACCCAGACTTGCACTGTCAGCATCCGGGGGGGGGGGGGGGCAATCATATCCCCTACAAAGGGGGGCTGGGAGCTATTTATATACAAAAACTACAGGCACTCAGCAAACTTTTTTTGCGCACATTTCTTTCCGACAACTTTCGTCATGTTTTCAACAGTCACACATCTTAGGGCTCATGTACACTGCAGCTAATAAACGCACGTTCAGGGGCTGTTCTGCGTTTTTTCAGCAGCCCCTGAACTCTCCCTGATGTTTTCCTATGTGTCCATGTACACATCGTCGTTTACAGGCAGTTGAGTTTACAGTTGTTTTTTTGAACGCAACAAACTTGCGTTCAGACGTCGATTTTATCAGCGTTTCAAATGCAAAACGCTTGTAAACGCGGCAAATCGTGTTTAAAATCGTGTGCAATTTTTTTAAACTCTTACAGTTCCAATGCTGTCCAGAGCCTTTTTTCATCATGAAAAATGTATGCAAAGCGTTTTCAAGGTACTCAAATGGACAAAACACTAAACACAGGATGTTCCTACGGAGCTTGTCACACATTGTAATGACAAATTCACACCTCAGACCTCTCCCACCCTTGGAAACAACAGATATGTTAATGACCATTCACACCTCATATCTTTTGTTTCCAAGGGTGGGAGAGGTCTGATAATGACCAATTCACACCTCAGATCTCTCCCACCCTTGGAAACAAAAGATATGTTAATGACCAATTCACACCTCAGACCTCTCCCACCCTTGGAAATAAAAGATATGTTGATGACCATTCACACCTCAGACCTCTCCCACCCTTGGAAATAAAAAAGATATGTTGATGACCATTCACACCTCAGACCTCTCCCACCCTTGGAAACAAAAGATATGTTAATGACCAATTCACACCTCAGACCTCTCCCACCCTTGGAAATAAAAGATATGTTGATGACCATTCACACCTCAGACCTCTCCACACTTAGAAACAAAAGATATGTTAATGACCATTCACACATCAGACCTCTCCCACCCTTGGAAACAAAAGATATGTTAATGACCCTTCATACCTCAGACCTCTCCCACCCTTGGAAACAAAAGATATGTTAATGACCATTCACACATCAGACCTCTCCCACCCTTGGAAACAAAAGATATGTTAATGACCAATTCACACCTCAAATCTCTCCCACCCTTGGAAATAAAAGATATGTTAATGACCATTCACACCTCAGACCTCTCCCACCCTTGGAAACAAAAGATATGTTAATGACCAATTCACACCTCAGACCTCTCCCACCCTTGGAAATAAAAGATATGTTAATGAAAAATTCACACCTCAGACCTCTCCCATCCTTCGAAATAAAAGATATGTTAATGACCATTCACACCTCAGACCTCTCCCACCCTTGGAAACAAAAGATATGTTAATGACCAGTCACACTTCAGACCTCTCCCACCCATGGAAACAAAAGGTATGTTAATGACCATTCACACCTCAAATTCCTCATGAAGACCCCCTGCCAGGAGGCCTTAATGACTCCCTCCACCAGACCTTTCCCACCCTTGGAAACAGAAGAAATGTTAATGAGCAACTCACACCTAATTATCAACACATACTGCTGTCTCTGCTTCTACTCTCTGTATTTCTCTGAAACAGTTTGAAATAGTTAATAATTTACCACTTTTCAGTGCATTCTGGGCATTTGGGAGGTTCTCCTGTGCTTATCTTTAAAAATCCGCTTTAACGCGTTATGCAAACGCAGCTAAACAGACGTTTTTTAACCTACATTTTCCAGCAGTCAGTTTCCATCGTTCAGAAACGTCCCGTGTACATGGGGCCTTAGAAATGGTCAGAGGCGTGTTTTATTTAAAAGTTGCAGGACCAGCTGTTGACCAGTAGAGGGGGCAATTTATGAAGAGAAGCTCTGCCCTGGACATCTCCGGATTGTAACTGTAAGGCCTTGTTCACATAGACATGCTAAAGCGTACACCCGTGTGAGGGTTGTGTCTGCCTCCATATGTACAAATATTCCATTTATCACCGTGCAATCAGTCCTAAGCATGTCAATAGGGACGCAGCTGGCCGACACCCATGTGAGTACACAACTCCCAACGTTGACAGTATGTGCTCAGGGCCCCGCACCTACATAGCTGTCCAATCAGGAGCAGCAGTTTTGTTCGTTCAGCCACTGCATCCCAAATTATATGAATGGGACTGTCTGCATGGGGGATGCATGGAACACCTGAGCATCTCTGTACAGACAAATACAGCCTTTGGATAGGTATATGCTGTAGTATGTCCTGTGTGAACAAAGGACTAAACCCCCAGCATTGACATCAGAAAGATATTACAGAAAAAAAAAAAAAAAAGGCAAAGAGGCAGGCTGAACTAAAAAAGCTGACCCAATTCCCCCATCCACATGTTGGAGGTAATGGGGCAATACTCCCTGCTGTACCTTTGTATTCTGACAGCAAGGAGACTTCCCTCCTTGCTTGCCGTGAGAATGCATACTGCACAGCAACGCTGATTGAACTGCAAAATCACTATATCCGCTCTCCCCGGACCCCGCATTCACTATATCCGCTCTCCCCGGACCCCGCATTCACTATATCCGCTCTCCCCGGACCCCGCATTCACTATATCCGCTCTCCCCGGACCCCGCATTCACTATATCCGCTCTCCCCGACCCCGCATTCACTATATCCGCTCTCCCCGGACCCCGCATTCACTATATCCTCTCTCCCCGGACCCCGCATTCACTATATCCTCTCTCCCCGGACCCCGCATTCACTATATCCTCTCTCCCCGGACCCCGCATTCACTATATCCTCTCTCCCCGGACCCCGCATTCACTATATCCTCTCTCCCCGGACCCCGCATTCACTATATCCGCTCTCCCCGGACCCCGCATTCACTATATCCGCTCTCCCCGGACCCCGCATTCACTATATCCGCTCTCCCCGGACCCCGCAGTCACTATATCCGCTCTCCCCGGACCCCGCATTCACTATATCCGCTCTCCCCGGACCCCGCATTCACTATATCCGGCTCTCCCCGGACCCCGCATTCACTATATCCGGTCTCCCCGGACCCCGCATTCACTATATCCGGTCTCCCCGGACCCCGCAGTCACTATATCCGGTCTCCCCGGACCCCGCAGTCACTATATCCGGTCTCCCCGGACCCCGCAGTCACTATATCCGGTCTCCCCGGACCCCGCAGTCACTATATCCGGTCTCCCCCCCGGACCCCGCAGTCACTATATCCGCTCTCCCCGGACCCCGCAGTCACTATATCCGCTCTCCCCGGACCCCGCAGTCACTATATCCGCTCTCCCCGGACCCCGCAGTCACTATATCCGCTCTCCCCGGACCCGGCATTCACTATATCCGCTCTCCCCGGACCCGGCATTCACTATATCCGCTCTCCCCGGACCCGGCATTCACTATATCCGCTCTCCCCGGACCCGGCATTCACTATATCCGCTCTCCCCGGACCCCGGCATTCACTATATCCACTCTCTCCGGACCTGGCATTCACTATATCCGGTCTCCCTGGACCCGGCATTCACTATATCTGCTCCCTGGACCCTGCATTCACTATATCTGGTCCCCACAGTACACACAACATGGAATTGCAATGATTTTAGTAAATATAAACTGCTAAATACCTTTTCTCCTCAGCATTATATAGCAGTCTTGTGACTTCTATCAGTGTCCTGCAAAGCACCGGGTAAAGCTTGTAGGAGTTTTCATTCGCCCCCGTTTGTCCCGTGAGGCTGCATACCCCCTGACCCTCTGTCTGGACAGCCCTGTGCTGATCAATTGCACTCTCCCAAGAAAAAAAAAAAAAAAAATCTCAAAAATGAGCATGTGCTCTGTTAACAGATTTTCAGCAATCTGCGCTCCAGTAGCTCTTCTATTGGATCAGACAACACAGCAAGCCTTCATTCCCGATGTATATCAATGAGCCATTGCTGCCCATGACCCGGTCGCCAGTTTTCCTTCCTTGGACCGCGTTTGGTCGGTCCTGACCACCGCAGATCGGGAACATCCCACAAGAGCTGCAGTTTTGGAGTTGCTCTGACCCAGCCGTCTAGACGCTACAATTTGCCCCATGTCATAGTTGCCAAACCCTTACACGTGTCAATTTTCTCTGATTTCAACATCAGCTTCAGGAACAACATGTTCACTTTGCCGCCTAATATATCCCACCATCCCATCAATGTTATTGACTTTACCTGTCAGTGGTCATAATGTTATGGCTGATCGGTGTATGTTGTAATAATAGACTTCAAAATAGAATGTACGTTGCATGACCGCAATTTAAAACAGCTGACTAATCAACACCTACCGTCATCTTATGTCTCTAGGATTGCAGGCACCTTAATTCACATCCATCATGTCACATGGGAACACCAAAAGGGTTTGTTTTGGGTTTTTTTATTAACCCCTTCCATACCAGGCACTTTTACCCCCTTCCTGCCCAGGCCATTTTTCAGGTTTCAGCGCTCTCACACTTTGAATGACAATTGCGCGGTCATACAACTTTGTACCCAAACTAACATTTTATCATTTTGTTCACACTACTAGAGCTTTCTTTAGCTGGTATTTAAATCACCGCTGGGGTTTTTATTTTTTGCCAAATTAACAAAAAATACCGAAAATTTTGAAAAAAAAAACCAAACAAAAAAAAAACACGTTTTTCTTTGTTTCGGTTATAAAAGTTTGCAAATAAATAATTGTTCTTCATAAATTTAGGCCGAGATGTATTCTGTTACATGTCTTTGGTGAAAATAACCCAAATTAGGATGTATTTTTTTAGTTTGTAGGAAAGTTATAGAGTTCACAAACTATGGTATAGATCTGAATATTGATCAATCCTGAAGTACTGACGGCCAATCTAATTTCTTGAGGTCCAAGAATGTCAGAACAGTACAGATATCCCCCCAAATGTCAGAACAGGACAGATATCC